GTCCGTCCACGAGATTTCGGCAATTTTTTTTTCTTCTTTTTTCCTTCCCCCCCCCCAACAATAAACCCCCCCCTTGTTTTCCTGCCCTTTGACCTCGCATCAGAAAAGTTTCGACAATATTTTTTTATATCCGGTCAATTTTTCACATTTTCACTTTTTCATTTTATTTTTTTTCCCCCTAAGAGTTCGAATAAATATTTATTTATTTATTTATTTACAATCGATTTTATTTTATTGTGATTTCAGGTACGAGTTGTGACGTCATACAACCAGTAACGTTTGGATTTAATTCGATGTCTCGTTGCGTCGTTGGAAAAATTTTTACATCGTGTCGAGAATTGAAGTAAAAATTAATTTTAACGATTTTTTTTTTTATCGTTTGTTTAATCTATTAAAAAAAAAAATGATGATGATAATAATAATGATAAATATTTGATCAGAGTCGTAAAATTTAATTATATATAAAAATAAATTAATAAAAATTTATTGATTTTCTTTTTTTTTTTTTTTTTTATAGAAATCACACGGAGAAAATATTCGATTCTTTGATCGTAGGAACAAATTTGGCACCACACGGTCAATTTAAAAATCCTAAACATGAAACGATACCGATTTTAAGGTGAGTTTTCCCTAACCTTGTGACCTTTAACCTCGCGGGGTCAATTTAATAACGACGATTTATTTTTTTGTTGTTGCAGAAATTATAAAAACGTTGAAATTTCGTCAGATTTAAAAGAGGATTGCGTTTATGCGAAAAGTCAAAATTATTTAATTGAATACACGTCGTCGACGGCAAGTAAAACGGGACGATTCGTTAATACAATCATAGGGTTAAGAATTGATAGGGATATTATTAAAAATGAATCGTTTAACGATTTCGATGGATTATTAACGTCACGTGTCACTTTTGTATTTGTCCCATCGTTAAACGTCACGGACAAAAGGTCAATGTAAGTAAAAATTGAAAAAAACTGGAAAAAAAAACAGAATAAAAATATTTAAAATAAGAGAAAGAGAGAGAGATGTTTAAATTTCAAGGTCACGTGTGATACATCGAAAAAGGAAAAAAATTTCCTTTGAATACTCGAAAAAAAAAAAAAAATGGAAAAAAGGAAACAGTAAAACTTCTTTTTCCACGGGTGTTTGCTACTATAAGGTTTTTGAAATTTTAATAAGTTAGTCCGGGCGATTTTTTTTTTTTTTTTTTTTTTCTCAATTCAGCTTTTAGAAAATCGATGTTAGAGAGAGAGAGAGAGAGAGAGAGAGAGAGAGAGAAACCACACGATTTTGTTTACGTTTAACAAAAGTCTTTTAAAATTTTTCTTTTTCTTTTAAAGAAAATTTTAAAGGAAAACAAATGGAAAAAAAATACAAACGAATGTTTTTCCATTTTCTTTTTTAGATTTTGGGAAAAAATTTTCTCTACGGAACTATCGGAAAATTCATGGTTAAATATTTTCAACGGTTTTGAAGACGAAGAAAATGGCGAACAAACGAACAACGACACGTTTTGGTGTTTTTTTATTTTATTATTTACATTCATACTCATGCCAACAATGAAACTCATCGTTATTGACGGTAAGTTTTTTTTTTTTTTCTTTTTTCTTTTTTTTTCTTTCGCTTTTTTTTATTTATGTGACGTAATTTATTATTATTATTATTATTATTAGCCGACGGTATAAATTTTAAGGATATACGGAGAAAAAAAAAAAAAAAAAACTTTTAACCGGAAAATCTTTTATTTTATTAGTTATCTTAATAACTCGTTGTTTGTTGCTCTCTCTCTCTCTTTTCCTTTTATCGTTTTTAATAAAAAGGAAAATGAAAAAATGGCGTACTACGTTTCTCTCTCTCTCACTCTCTTCGTTAGTAAATTATTTATTTATTTATTTTCCACCGGGGGGGGGGAGAGGGAGGGATCCCCTTTAATAATTGAACTCTTGGAAAATATAAAAAAAAATTAAACATTCCGGAATTCGTTTTTTTTTTATTAAAAGCAATGCGTAGGCGGAAATAAAGAAGTTGAGGGAATTCTATAATAATAATAATAATAATAATAATAATAATAAATGTTTTTAAATTCGTAAAAAGGTTTTAAAAAAAAAAAAGGCGCGATCGATACACTAACGTTTTTATTTTTTTTATTCGAGTTCGAAAATAATTAATTATTATTATTATTATTATTATTATTTTGAGTTTATATACGAAACAAAAATATTTATGTAGTAATACTCGCTCGTGATTGGTTGAAAGTAGTAAATAAATAAATTTATTATTCGATTCGATTTAAAAAAAGAATAAATTAAAAAAAAAAAAAAATGACGTCACGCTGTTGGAAAATTGCGGACTTTAATAATTTAATGGATTTATTACGTAAAGTCGTGTTTACGCTCATACGTCAGTCGCCATTTTACTCTTCGTTATAATAATAATAATAATAATAATAATAATAATAATAATTTTTTTGTATTTCACTTTAATTCCATACGATAAACGATAAACGTCAAAAATGCATTAAAAAAGGAAAAACAAAGGAAAACAAAGGAAAAAAACCTTTTCTTTTATACAAAAACAATTTACGTATATATTTTATTTATTTAACAGGAAGACAAAACGATCGGTTTTTAAAAATAATAATAATAATAATAATAATTTTTTTCACACGCACGCACACACACACATTTATAATCTATTGTCATTAATAATTTTTTGATAAAAATATAAAAAATATTTATATAAATAATGATAATAATAATAAAATAAAAAATAAAAATTTTTTTTACGTCGAGTTCCAGCTCGATTATTATTATTATTAAATATAAATTATTATTATTATTATTATTATCAATAATATAAATAAAATTTATTTATATAAATATTTATTATTTTGTCAACGTAAACATTATATATTATGTGTAGTGTTGTGCACGTGTGTGTAAACAAACAAAAACAAAAATGGCGGAAGGGGGAGAGAGAAAACAAAGATATCGATAATAATCGATTTAAAATTTCGATTTAATATCGATTATTATCGATTATTATCGATATAAATTTTTTTTGTTAATATATATCTATCATAACAACAACAACAAGAACAACAACAATATTAACATGATGACGATTCGTTTGGAATTGTTTTTTAATTGCTCATAAATGAATTATTTTTAATAAGACCGGCTGAACTTTCGGATAATGGAACAACCGTCGAATTATTATCATCATCATCATAATTCGTCGTTAAATCTTTTTGAATTCTCGCTTTGAATTTTGGTTTTAAACCCATTTTTATGTTCTGCAAAATAAGAAGAAGGAAAAGTTTTTATTTTCGTGTCGTAAAAATGGAAAAACGTGAAGAAAATTTTAAAAAAAAAAACCGGGATTGGATTTGTCGTTAGTGGAAAAGAATAAAGAAAAAAGGATTTTTGCTGGAAAGGAATAGAAAGGAAGGAAGGAAGGAAGGAAGGAAAGTGAAAGGGATTGTGGCATACATACTTCTTTTATGGAACCCGGAGAAGAAAATATATAATACAAAACGTAAACGGGTATCCAAATCATTGAGGAAAAACTCATTGCGAAACCGATTTCTTGCGCCCACCACGGATACTCGTAATCTTTTCCATAACTCACGGGTTTATATTGAACGATGTAAAAAATAAAAATGGTCTGGAAATAACAAAAAAACGAAATTGAAATGATTATAGTTGTTTACGTTGATTTGAAAGTAAAAGAAAGATGTGTGAAATTTTCACCGCCATTATTCCAGGCGCTAAATATTTCCAGCAAATTATCCAAAATTTATTCAAACGTATTCCCATCATTTGATGAATGCAATCGTTGAATTTTTGCGCGCCGAATATCCACGAAATTGCAATCGTTTGAAAAAAACAAACAAACAACAAACACATTCCGCTTGCCGAATAAAAATCCATGAGTTGGAAAATGTATGCTCCGCCCTTTGAAAAAATCATTTTCGGTCAAAAAAATGTAAAAAGATATTGTGGAAAATTCGTATCGGAAAAATTACCTGCGTGACCATAGGTATGCCTAATAAAAACATTAAAAAGCAAATACCCAACGTTATTTTATTTCTATGTGGACGTAAATTTTCCGACCAATTGTCAACGATTCCAGTTATAAAAGATTCGACTATGCAAAATTCACTGTCGATGCCTAAAATCTAAAAAAAAAAAAAAAAACGAAGAAAATGGTGAGTTTTTCATAAAGTCTCAACGCGAAGAAAGAAATTCGATTTACCACAAGCATGGAAAAAAATATGGCCGCCCAAGCAGGAGCACCGGGGAGTTTAAGAACAACTTCAGGATACGTTAAAAAAACTAAACCGGGACCGCTTTTAACGACTTCCGATACTTCGGTTTCTTGTTCCACGGCTATGTGTCCGAGTATGGCAAAAGTTACGCATCCAGCCAGGAGACAAGTCAAAGTATTGACAATGCAAGTGATTATGGCATCCCTGAAAAGAATAATCAACCGTCAGAAAAAAAAAAAAATTAACCTTTAAACAAAAAAAAGAAAAATGGCGGAAATACTTGTAGCAGTTGTGATAAAATTTATTGTAACTCCCCAATGCCGGTAATGCTCCCGTTCCGATGCTGTATGCGAAAAATATTTGCGTTGCACCATCCAACCAAGGTCTCGAACCTAAAAGTTCTTCCCATCTAGGTGTGACGTAATACAACAAACCGGCTTTCGCACCTTCTAACGTCACAGAACGTATCAATAAAACGAACAAAATGAAATAAGGAAACAGGGCAGTAAACCAAATAATCTGAAAAAAAAAAAAATCTATATAAATCCGTTTAAATAGTTTACGTGGGGAGGGGAAGAAAGAGGAAAGGGGAGGGGGAAATATTTACTTTTCCACTTTGATGAATCCCTCGACGTATAATTAAATAAACTAATATCCAACCTCCTAAAAGACAACCTAATAATTCCCATTGCATATTACCTAAATCATGAATACCACTCGTTACCTGGAGTACTCTTTTACTAAAAGAAAAAAAATTTGTTAAGTTGGTATCACGAAAATCAATACTTTTTTTTTTTCGCGGTGATACTCACTCCCAAAACTCTTCAACCGGAGTGGTTGTATGATTTGTTCTATTATGCACAACATACGGATCCATTCCAGGTGCAAAACATGTCTCCGTGTTCCACCAATTGTCTTTATTTCATTAAAAAAAAAATTCCAGGAATTTATTAACAATTAAAAATGGAGAAATTTATTTATTTATTTAAACTTACCGCAATCTTGCCAAGGAAGTCCGGGCAAAACGACAAACGAACTGATGAGATAAAAAAGCGTCCAAGCAATAATGACGCAATAATAAATATCCAAAAAAAAAACAATGGTCATGGTGGCGTAACCGACCCCTTGTAAAATGGGTACCAATTCGCCAACGAGTGTCATACCTCCGGCACCCAAATATTGACCAATGGCAACTTCTTGAAAGAAAATGGGTATACCGCAAAAAAGCATTGCTATGGCATAGGTAACGAGAAACGCACCTGTAAAAAAGTCATAGAGTAATACAAAAAAACTCGATTTATAGTTTCGAATCATTTTTTTTTCCGTTCTGTGTTTAATAACCTCCGCCATTTTTGTAGCACAAATAAGGAAATCTCCAAACGTTTCCCAAACCGACGGATACGCTTATGCAAGAAAATAGAAAATCTAATTTGTTACCCCAACCACCTCTTTCGACTTCATCATTTAAACTCGTTCCCGTTTCCTTCTGTAACAAATAATAAATGAAACAAATTTTTAATATGAAATTTTACTCTTTTTCAAGGCCCCCCCCCCCTTAAACTTTTCATCATCATCATCATCATCATCATCATCTCGAGTTATTATTAAATTTTCTTTTTATATTTAAAAAATTACGTAATAAATTTTTTTGTCGTCATTTCCGTTTTAATAATATATATATAAATATAAAATATCAACTCGTTCGCTTTTCCCTAACCAATAGAAGAAGAAGAAGAAGAAAAATTGCAATTTATTAGTTTGTTTATAAACTCTATGACATTTTTTTTGTTTATTTACTACTCTATGGCATTTTTTTGTTTTTTTTTACTCTATAAAATTTTTTTTAAGTTTATTTACTCTATGACATTTTTTTTTGTTTACCTTTTTTTCCTCTGTCGAAACCGTCATGACGTCATCATCGTCATACTCGTTATTATCACGATGCGTTGTACGTTTTCCAAATTTAGATTCTAATTTGTTTTTACATTTTTTTCCAAAAATTTTCTTTTTATTCTTTCCCGGATATTCTTGTAGAGAATCCGTTGATTTTTTTTTACCTTCGCTCCAATAATTATATACGTTTGTCGCCATTTTTTATTTCTTTTTTTTTTCTCCAACTGTTTTTCCTATTGAATCGATGATGGAAATTTTTTTTGAAATTTACTATGGATCACCTGTAATTTTTAATATAATTTATCATTATTATTATTATTATTATTATTATTATTATTATTATTATTATTATTATTATTATTATTATTAATTTTTTTTAATATTGAAAAAAGAAAAACGATTGTAACAGACGTTTCGTTATTTCGTCATTTAATTACACGTTATTTATGACGCCATTTTTTTTCTTTTGTAAATTAAAAAATTGCAATTAATCAAAAGAAAATAATAATAATAATAATAATAATAATAATAATAATAAAATTTATAGTTACGTGAATAATAATAATAATAAAATGAGATTTTTTTTTATTTTACGATGAAAATTAAACTTGGAAAAAATAATTTAAACTTTGTGGAAAACTATAAAAAAAAAAAAAAAAAAAATTGCAATCAAAAATGCAAAACTTATTCCAGAATGCATTATTATAACATAAAAAGAGAGAGAGAGAGAGAAAGAGGAGGGAAGGGGGAGGAAAATCATGCCTCAGGTTTTTAGTAAATTGATCTCATTATTAATTTCGTGATGAAAATAATGTTTAAAATTGAAAAAATGTTCTACTTCCGGTTTTACATGTGGTTGTGATTTTGTACCAATTTTTTTTTTTTTTTTTTTTTTTTTTTTTGAAAGATTTATTAGATTTGAATGAGATCCAATAATAATTTTTCGTTAAAGGAAATCGTCGTTAACGATATTTGATCACGTGACTCACTCTTCGTTTCCTTTTTTTTAAAATTATTTCGCGCGTAATTTTAATTTCACGTACGCATAAGGTAAATAAAAGGTATTTTCGTGTGATATTATTCTCGGAATGTGGGGGGGAGTTCCTTTCCGAAAGCTAAGTATTGTTTTCGCCATGTTGGAAATAAAATAAAAACAATAAAATTTTTTTTAAACGAAAATGGACAAAAGTTGTTAGCAGCTAAATCAGTTAATATACGGGGGGGGGGGGCAGGGGGAGGGGCAAGGGGGGCGGGAAAACAAAATGGCGTGAAAATTATATACGTCGCGTCCATTTTTTTTGTGTTAGGTTTTAAAAACAATTTCGTGTTAGAAAAAAAATATATAAGAGAGAGAAAGAAATAAATATAAAAAAAAAAACATAAAAAGAGAAAGAGAGAAAATGAAAGAGTGAAAATGAGAAAGAGGGAGAGAGAGGGAGGGAGTGAGAGAGAGAGAGAAACTGGGTAAATAATTTATTGCTTGTCTGGAAAACGAAAAATAATTAATTTTTTTTTTTTTTTTACGAAAAACCTTTTTTGTTTTAAATTTAAGGTTTTTTTTTCTAACAGGTGCATTATTTTATTAGGTATGGAATGTACCTGTTGCAAATATTTATAACGGTCGATTCGTTAAAATAAAAAAGAAAATTTTTCTTTTTTTCCCCTCACCCTGCTAACCTAAAAACGTCATTTTTAAATAACGAGTCATACATATTAATATTAATATTATTATTATTATTTCGTGAAAAAAAAAACAATTACGTAATTTATTTTCCATTTATTTATTAATATTTTCTTTTCGTATTGAGAGAGAGAGAGAGAGAGAGAGAGAGGGGGGGGGAAGAAGAAAAAAAACAAAATTTAATTCTATTCCATTTCGAACGAAATGGAAAAAATAAGAAGAAGAAGAAAAAGAAACCCTTTAAAAGTAAAAATGAAATCGGAAAAAAAAATTTTCTTTGTGTGAAAAAAGAGAGAGGGGGGTAGGGGGAAGGGGAGAGAGAGAGAGAGAGATATGAGAAAATGAAGGAAGTAAAGAGAAATAATAATAATAATAAGAAAAAAAAAAAAAGATTTAATATTTAAACGTGCATTTAAATGCTAATGATGAGTCCTTGGAACAAAATTTACGTCAAACCATGAATCTATTTTCTCTC